CATTGAGCTAAGAAATACTTGGTCACATTATGCATACTACCATTTTTCGGATGCCGGGGAAGCCGATCAGCCCCAGTCCGTTATCGGACGCTTTGTCGTGGAGGCTGAATTTGCCTACAGTTTCGCCAAAGACCCCTTCCTTAACCACCTATTCCAGCACTTAAGTAGGATATAGATGAATTAAGCCTTGTATTCGATAGCGGAGCTTTTTTGGGGTATGAATGACAAAAACTATTGCCATAGATAGAAATGGGATAAATTAATTACTTAAAAACAATTAAGGCGTGACATTAATTACGTTTCATTAGTAGCATAGCATTTGAAATTAATTCTACGAAAAACCCCGTTAACATGCTCTGTTCATCAACTACGTCCATTTTTGCACGATTGGCACCCCCTTGTCAGAACTAAATTTCGTCAAAATACGCATCCTAGTAACCGGAGCCTTATTATTAGAGATGCGATGTTATTTAGCTTTTAGTTTTTTTTTTTTTTGTGAGACTAAAATATTTTGTAACCGCGATAGAAATACGATTGTATTTTCTGTTATATGTTTGTCGAAGTACTTCTTGGAATACATATGTAGATACGTTGGTTTGTAATATAATAGTTGACTTTTCCTGTAATACTAATAATGAGTTATAAGTATGTATGTATGTGTATGAAAGTATGCAATGTATCAAGTTTATATGTATATGCTGACTATAATTTTATTGAGAATCTTATAACTAAACTTTTTTGCAGCTCTTTATTTCCTTAATAATCTTAACTATAGAGTTTGTTATTCCTTCGACAATTCTTTTGGTTATTTTGATTTTTATAAGAATTGCTTATGGCTCTGCCACTACAATGGCGAATGCCTTTGTGTTTAAGAATGTATGAGTTACCTACAGTACAACTTTAGTAATTTTCCAACTGCCTGGTTTGTTTCATGTAATAATGCGAAGATAACATGGAGGAATGACCAAAAAAATTGTATTTGTATTTGTTTTCATTGATAAGCGCAACTTAGCTTTTACTTTCTTACTCAATTACATTTCGTCCATCTATTTATTTTATTTTATGATTTTTTTTAAATCAATTTTTCATTGCATTGTTGATTGATGAAGGATTCTTTTTGAAATTCTAAAATAAGTATTTGCTTTTGTTTACAAGTACTTTGATTTTAATCTTGCAAAAACATCACCCTTGCCTAGGATATCATCACGCATTATATGTATGTATGTATGAGCTTAACTGGTCTCTACATTTGACTAACCTGATATATGTATGTATGTGTTATTGCATTGAATGCGCTCTGCATTTGTCAAGACTGCAGCTATCACCATTGCCGTCTGTCGCACATCTCAAACACTACTCTTCGATACGAACTCGCGCAAGATGTCGCAGGCCATTTCGATGTTGTTTCGTGAGATGCCCAGCGCTGTGATCGCATTCTCCTTCGAATATCCCTCATTCATGAGACGTGCAATGTACTCCAGATTGATATTTTCATATGGAACATTACATTCCTTTTGATTGATCGTCACATTCTCGTACAGCAGAGGCTGTTGCTGTAGTTTTTGTGTTGATTGTAAGGTTTGCTGTTGATTTCGGTGCGAGCCTACAGCCGCTGATGTCGTCGATGGTCCTCCGGTCGGTGCTGACGCCGCTGGCTGTGTTGATGAAGTAGCATTGCAGAGCTGAGTATAGTGCGGAGTACCCGACATGGAGGTTATACATGTTGTTGGTGGCAACTTTACCGTTGTTGGTTCCAAAATTCGAGCTGCTGCCGCCAGACGTGCTTCCAGTGGCCGTGTATCAATTACACCCGTAATGGTCTCTGCTGGTCCTACTATGTCGTCGTCCAGTATCGAACGCGTGGGCGAAGTAGCTGATGCCGAGCCTGGTGTCGACTGCAATGAGATTGAGGCCGCAGATGTTGCTACAGTCGTAGTGGCGATTTGTTGCGCGCGTAAATCGTCGACGACGCTATCAACTAGCATTAGATTGCCGTGCGGTGGTATCGGCGGTGCCGTTGTCTGCGGTGGCATGGCAGCTCCTTCAGTGTTCGCCGCTAAACTGTCCGAGGGAGTTGCAGTTCCAGCTGACATCTGTCCTCTGTGCTTGACCACTGTCGCACTTGCAGCAGCTGCAACTGGCGTCACAGCAGCACTTGCGCCGACCATACTTGTGGCGCTATTTTCAACACCAGGTGACGACTTTCGTGGCGGCAGGGGTGGAGCACCAGAGATGCCGGCGTTCACGGATCCGCTGACGGCTTGACGTGATCCCGCTGATTGCTGTTGTGTTTGCGGCAGCAAGGGTTCTTGCAGGCCTTGCAATATAGCATACGATGAGTTGTCGTTGTGTTCGGATTTGCTCGTTGCCATTCTTGTAACATAGTTGCTGGTGGAATTGCCACAATTCGGGGCGGCAGCGGCACCCATTTGAGGCGCACTCATGCGATTGGTTGACTTTTGAGCAGCACTTGCGGTGTTGCCAGCTCCGCCGCCATTGAGCGCCTGTATCGACGGTGCCGTGGGTGCGGGCTGTGGTGAAAGTACAGCGTTAGCTATGGCCGATGCGCTGGCAGCGATGATGTAGTTGCTGCT